CGTCTCAGCCCGGACGACGCGGGAGAAGAAGAAAAGATGCCTTGGCCGAACGGTTGTTGCTAGTATTTCGGGGAACTGCTCGTACTGATAGTTGCTACAAGCAAACCATCTAGATTTCGCATTGACGAACTCCTAGCTTCAAGTGGGATGGTTTGGACCAGCATTCAGTATAATGGGGTACACGTATCTCGTCTGAATTCTTTTCCTAGGGCCGTCGAGTTTCTTGATATGCCGGACCGGTGGTCGCCGAATACCTACGGGCATCCGACATCGGGTTCGGGACCGTCGGTATGGGGGATCGGGCACACGGGCTGCACGTCTCTATCTCACTACTTCCGGAGCAATTAGACTGAGGTTTTTTTTTTTCCTTTTCTTCTGGTGATTTAGACAAACTATTTGCCCTGACAATGTATGAGATCAAATTAGGGCCATGGTACTCGTAATAAGTCGGGCAATTTGTCTTGTCGAAAACACCATTGCTCGAATACTGTACTTTGATATCTACTACATAGGGTTACAGACTGCACAATTTAAAATTTCTTTGGGAAGAAGGATCATCAATGCTATCAATGCATAAAAGATAATTAACGAATAGTTGCTACTATACTACTTTCCAATAAAACTCCATGTTATACAGAGAAACAACAAGTACCACGAATAGGTAACCTCATCCAATTTCGCCCAATGATATCGATATAAAACAATCTTTTCTTCCCCTTCATCTCGTCATTTAGTTTTACACTCATAAACTTTTTACTACTCCTTGGCATTTACAGCTTTGAGGCCGGAGCGGGAGATCCAGGCTTTGTAATCTCATCGTACAAAAGACTGTTTTGCAAGAATCTGTTAGTTCCAAAAAAAATTGCTTAAAAATCCAAGGATACTTGAAAAGGAAACTCACGTTGTCAAGAAATCAGCATAGTCTTCGCCAGTGACCTGTCCGGCAAAGTACTGTGCAGCAAGATGGAATTTGTTGCCCTGAGGAGCCTTTGAGGCAAGACCATCGGCACACTCATTCAGGAGCTTGAGGGCATACGCCTTGTCGACACGCTTGCCTTCGGCGGTAGAGACGCCGTGCTTGACCCATTGCCACAGCTGGCTTCGAGAGACTTCGGCGGTGGCAGCATCCTCCCTGATTTGTAGAATTACTCATTAGTGATGTTGTTCATATGTGACCACAATAGCTTTTACGACTGGAAAGACTTACATCAGATAGTTGATGGGAACGCAGCCCACTCCTCGGATCCAGGCCTCCATGTAGCCCAGACCAATGTTCAGATTCTTCTTAATGCCCTCCTCAGTAACGCTTCCGGGAACATTCATGTTGAGCAAATCATTCTGGCCAATCTTGACGTCCTCCCGGCGGATAAACAGCTGATTGGGGGTAGGCATGTGCTTGTTGAAGATTTCGGTCGCAATGCTAGCGAGAGCAGGGTGAGCAACCCACGTGCCGTCGTGGCCGGCTCGGGCCTCGCGCAGCTTGTCGGCACGGACATTCTCCATGGCCTTGTCGTTGGCCTCCTTGTCGTCCTTGATGGGGATCTGGGCAGCCATGCCGCCCATGGCGTGGACGCCGCGCTTGTGGCAGGTCTGGATGAGGAGCTTGACGTAGGCGTCCATGAAGGGGACGGTCATTGTGACGGCGGATCGGTCCGGCAGGACAAAGTTTGCGTTGTTGCGGAACTTCTTGATGGTGCTAAAGATGTAGTCCCATCGGCCGCAGTTGAGGCCGGAGCTGTGGTCTCGGAGCTCGTAGATGATCTCGTCCATCTCAAACGCAGCGAGGATGGTTTCGATCAAGACGGTTCCTCGGATGGTGCCGCGAGGGATAGCGATGTAGTCCTGAGCCAAGTTGAAGGCGTCGTTCCACAGACGAGCTTCGAGGTGGCTCTCCATCTTGGGCAGGTAGAAGTAAGGTCCGAAGCCCTTCTTCTGGGCCTCGACAGCGTTGTGGAAGAAATACAGGCCGAAATCAAAGAGACTGCCGGAGATGGGCTCGCCGTCAACCAGGAAGTGCTTCTCCTCGAGGTGCCAGCCTCGGGGGCGGACAATCAGAGTAGGCAGCTTGCGATCAGTACGAAGCTTGTACTCCTTGGCGCCCTGCTTGAAGTCAACTTGGCGACGGACAGCGTCGTACAGGTTGACTTGGCCATTGATCATATTGTCCCATGTAGGGGCACTGGAGTCTATTTGTTTGCTCAGTATTAGCTATCCAAGCAACCCAGGCTGACGGGTTTCACGCGAGACTCACCTTCAAAATCAGCCATGTACGTCCATACATCAGAGTTCAAGGCATTCACAACCATCTTGCGATCCGTTGGGCCAGTGATCTCAACGCGTCGGTCAACCAGACCAGGCGCAGGGGGCGCACCCTTCCATGTGGCATTCTCACGAATGTGCCTCGTCTCGGGCAAGAAATCAGGAAGAACACCACGATCCAGCTCAGCCTGGCGCAGCTTTCGGCGCTCAAGGAGATTCTTGCGGGTGGCGTTGAAGGAGCGATGTAAGAGAGCAAGGAAGGCCAGAGCCGGAGGAGTGAGGATCTTGCGGTGAGACTCGTCAATCTTGCCGAGGACGGTGACGCCCTGGAGGATAGCTTCTGTGGATGCCATTGTGCCGGTGGTTTTGTGAGGAGAGTGTTTGCGGGATTGGAGGTTATTGAAGACGGTTTGCCAGAAAGGCTGCTGTGGCATGTACGATATATCGGAGTGAAATGTCCAGATATAAGGATTTAAGGTAAAAGATGTTTTTGTAGAGATAGATGCCAGATGATTTCAATTGGCAGACGCCACAACCGCAATGATATGAGAGAGGAGGTGAGGTGAACTTTCACGTGTCAGTCAGTGACGGTTGTTCGCGGTAAGCTTTCCGGATATGGATGGATAGGCGCTCTGCTCGCACTTACAGGAGAATTGAAAGTGCTATGGCTTCGTGTTTCAATTTCGCACACAGTGAAGAAAGACTAATGTCTAATAAGAAAATACTCAAAAGTGAGAAACAAGAAGAGAAGAAAACTACAGCGGAACGATGGCTGATATAGCTTTCCAGAGCAAGGTTATCGCTATCCCAAGTATAACCACCAAGGAGGAGGCTATGACGCACCTCGTCGCCAAATCACAGCGCAAGGTCGGCAAAAAGATTAGCCTCGCCACCGCCCAAAGCAATAAGAGGAAGATAAAGTCAAAGCTCCCTCTCCCCTTGACCCCAATGACTAACGAGCAAGATCCATCCATTCACCCATGCCTGTCTGTGCTTGTATCTTTTCTTACACTCTTCGTTTGGCCCGTCAGCCGGATTTCTGGGGGCTCGGCACCTATCGGCCTGTCTGGGCCTCGGGTGGACGGATGGAGCTTGTACCGGATACCCAGAGGCGGGGGCAACGAAGCATGTGCACGGCACTGCTGTATAGCCTGTAATGCCTGAAAGAAGCCGGTCTGCCAGCCAAGGGAGACTGCGGGGTAGCGGCCGAGATGTACTGTCTACAACGCAGCCGGCCGGGCGCCTCTCACAGCACGGCACTTTGCCATCCATGCCATGCTTCACTCTTATAAGCCAATGGGCTCGGTCTCAGTGGCAGTTTTGCAGACACGGTTAGATAGATGGCCAAGGTACTAAAACAAGCCTCTCTGTGTCCCATACTGGCGAGACCTGATGCCGAGGAATTTAGATGGCCAATGCCCCCCCTCGGGCCCATCACAAGACGAGGTAGCATCTAAATCCGGCGTTGCGTGTACTGTACCATCAACAGCATAGCATAGCATCTGCAGCGTTGGATCTACCTCGTATATACCCCAAACTCTCCTCTCCTCTCCTCTTCCCCCAAGCTCCAATGACGCAGATATTCCAATAACAGCCCTCTCCTTCTACTTCCTCAGCTCTCCCGTCTCAGCTGTCAACTACTAAAAAAGAAGACCCAGTTTCTTACTTCTTACACTTGAACCACATCCAGCCTTGGGTTCCAATAGCATTTTCCAAGAAGAGACGAGTGGCGAATAAATAACAAGACCCGTTTACTGTCCAGCAGCCCACCCACCGTCTCTTCACATCTACCCCAAACTCTACTTCATGTACAACGTATATGCGCTTTGGCTGCTCATCCCGAGGAGCCAACCGAGGCCCCTCCAAATTCCTTAAGCCGCAATTGCGCAGCCAACCCGAGACTTTCCGGGCTGCAGTCCCTTTTGTTTTCTGTAAGTGTAGATATAACACAGTCAGATATGCGCATCGTAATTATCACTATTCGATACCGGGCTGCTTTGCGTTTGCATATCATTACGGTCTTGAGTCGTGTAGTCTGACACATGCACTGCGCTTATACTTTCATCCGATCGTGACCTGAATCGTCTCATGATATTTAACTCTAACAGATGAAATACAGTTCAGCTACGTGAAGCAATGCTCTCATATCCCCTGATTATAGCTGATTTGAATACATGTAATCAGCCCATGTAATCTTTCCCTCTGTCCTGCCCATTAGTAACCGATCTGCCTGCTTACTTGGCCGTGCTACCAGTCAACCAATCAATCCTTTGTTCTGTCCAACCAATTCCGGCCTCCTCGTCAAACCACAAAAGTCTTGTACAAAAGAATTGGAGCCAAGAGTGTAGAGCTCTACATTTTTTTTTTTTTTTTTTTTTCCAGTTTTTGATCCAACAGCATTAAACTTGTCCTTAATCATTTCACCTCGCCTTTTGCCCATCTCAATTGCCTCGCAATATCAAGTCACCACTCAAAAGAATAGTGTTGCTCTTCGATCCGAAAATATCCATTGAAAAGAAATAAGAAAAAAAAAAAATTAACAGCCGTGAAATTTGTCGCACAAATGCAGTGTCGAATTCGTCCGAATGCATTCTCCATAGCCGTAGTATACCTTTGGAAAGCAAGTTTCCCACGTGTTGTCCGTATATGCAGTTGACTTCAAACATTTATTAGGTGTCTCAGCACGGCGAATCAATCCCAAGCGTCCAAGCAATGAAGAAGGAAGCGCAGGAGTGCTTCCATTACGAATTCAGAGTCTTGATCATCATCTTTTGCTTGCTTCGGTCCTTAACCACGAGGTTGCGGTCGGTAAACACAATTCGCATGGTATCCACAACTTTGTGGAAGCTGCTCGCGGCACCACGCTCCTGTGTAAAGCGAATGATGCTGAGCGGCTGTTTCTTACCATGCTCAATCACCGTCATTACCTCTGCAGCAAATGCAACTTCTTTGAGATTCAAACCTGTGTCTCTTGTTAGGTGTGTTCCAGCGTCAGGTAGCTACAGAGCATGCAACTCACAGTTCTTAGCTGCAACTCGCGCAAAGACGATGTTGCGTTCCTTATCCACTTGTATACCCTTAATTCCGTATCGGCGCTTACGCCACTCTCTCAGCAAGATGGCTACCTCCTGTCGGGCACGTTTGCGTGACAGCGTCATGCAAATATAGCTTGTCGCAGGCTTGACACGGAATAGCCTAGTAAGCCAATTCTGCTTAACCTCAATATTGCGGCTGCCGGCCGACGACGACCGATGCCATTTTTCCTTCTTCGCCCCGGCCTTTGTAGTGGCCACTTCTTGATCTCGGTTTTGGCGATCTATAAAGGAAGTTTAGTGTTAGTCTACCGTTTTTGCAAAAGGCGAAAAAACTGTCCAGTAGCAAGTCAGCAACTTTACCTTCAACCATCGTCTTCGAATCTCTATTTCGGTTACTCTTCCAAAATGGAAAGCTGAAATTTCTCTTCTTAGATGAGGCAGCTGTCGCAGAACTGGAACCCGATTGGCGAGTTTCGCACGATACGGTTCGCTGCCTCTCATCCTTGGACTCTACCAAAGTCTCTTCCGAGTCGAGCTTGAATGATCTCTTGAACCAGGATTTCTTCTTCTTCACTGGGCTATTGGTACCTGCTTGCAAAATATCTTCTTCATGCTGCCCATAGTTCCTCAATGTACTTTCTAGCTGTTCTATGTGGTAATTCAGCGACCCGCCAAAGTCTTGGTTGGTAATCTTCTTTCGCACATTCAGTGGCTCGGGAATTTTGACTGGGCTTTGTGCTGTGGGGGAAGTGACAACTCTGATTGAGTTTTCAACTTGGTTCAGATACTCGACGCCACTGATGGGGCGGTTTGCCTTCTTCGACGGTGAATGCGGTGGCGCGGATACGATCCTTGTCTTCTCAACGTTGGCCATATTGTTGCCTCCTGGATTCTCATTGATGCACGGCAGAGTACCTGTCCGGCGACTAGCCTGGCCATACGGGGCTGAGACGACTCGGCGGTCCGATTGGCTTGGAAGCAGTAATGGTAGGGCCAGTAAGTTGACTTGGTCTGCCATAATGTTTCCCCCTCCTGCTCTCGAAACTAGTCGGGAGTTTGCATTAGTTGCCTTGGGGCCAGGCTCCAATGGAAGTGGTGGCAGGGGACGACTGCTCCAGGACATACATGAGAATTCTGTGGGTGCGGTTGCTTCCGACGGAGTATCAATTGTAAAAGAAAATGGTGTGGAATCACGCTGCCTCTTATGCATATCTGTCAATGATCCAGAAATGGAGTCTTCCTCGATGAGTGAACTCCTAAATGCGTCATCGCAATCTTTGGCTATATTGTTGCTAAAGTGGCGCAGCTCTTCATTAAAAAGAAGCGAGGCGTCTTTGTATGCTGGCTCACCTTTGGCTTTTGGATAGGTGCCGTTGGGCAGCTGGGGCATTTCCGGTGTTGGAGACCGAGGCCTTGAAGGAATTCGGCGCGAGTTGCCTTCTGATGCCATAGAGTTTGCTCGCGAACAAGGAGGGCCCCGTTGAATATGTACTGCAGAGGCCGATCGCTTGCGAACATGCGAAAAATCGACTCCTCGTTTGTGCCGCAAACCTGGGCCGTGGCCGTGTCTTTGCGGCGTCCCTTGCCTATTGCTATGCAAAGAGCTCACTGATCCCCTTGATGACTGAGGTCGGCCCACAAACGTTCGCACAGAAGCAGCCCTTGGGCGGCGTGTAGCATTTGACGCGCTGCGTTTTCTCGCCGACTGCGATGCTTGAGTCATCTCGCCATCTCGATGGACGGTTATTCTCGCGTGGCTAGCTTGCGAGCCACATGCTTTAAGCATTCGGCTGCCTCTGTATGGATCGTAGCTCTGAACGGTCCCATTCTCTGTCTCTGCTGTGGTGGAAATGACTGTGAAACGAGAAATAGATCTACCATGACCGTTGGCTCGAGGCTGGTAGAATTGGCATGTCGAGACGCGCTTTTTCCACGAGTTTGGCTTGAGATGATGGTAGTCGCTCATGGAGTGAGACAGTTCTGGCTTGAAATCTTCCAACTGCTGTTCACGATAGTTGTGGAGGAGCCAGTAAAATGCCTTTTGATCATTTGCTCTGGTTTCCATTGTGTTAGTAGAAAGAATCACTGATCTAAAAGAAATATCGCTACAACGCATCACTTACTCTTTGCAGCTCAGTTTCATCTCCAAGTCGTCATCACTAAACATATGCCAAAGAGAACGTAGTTGTCGCAGCAGTTGGGGGTCAATCTGATGTTGCGGGATCGGAGTATATTGAAAACCCTTCCGAGTATCTGGAGGCTGACCCGTGTTCTGGCCGAAATCATCGAGATAATTATACCGCTGAATCAACGGATGCTGCCAGATCTGCTTCATGGTAATTCGATGGTCGGGATTGACCTGGAGCATGCGGCGGATGAGATCTTCGGCTTCGGGGCTGAGGAACTTTGGCATCTCATACTGTCCCTTTTTTGTTTTGCCCATCATGACACGCAGATCGGGATCGTCAAAAGGCAGGGTCGCGGATAGCATGGCGTATAAAATCACGCCCATGCTCCAGATATCGGCCCTATCTCCCCGATATTGCCGATTCTTGAGAAGTTCAGGCGCTGCGTAATGGGGGCTGCCGCAAGCTGTTGCCAGTCGATGAGAAGCTGTCTGGTGAAGAGCTGCCATACCGAAGTCGGCAATCTTGATCTGCAGGTCGGCGGTGATCAAAATATTCTCAGGCTTCAAATCGCGGTGGCACACGTTGAAAGAGTGGCAGTAAGCAATAGCACTGATCATCTGCCGGAAGAAATAAATAGCCACTTCTTCGGATAGTCTTCCTTTTGAGTTGATGAAAGTAAAAAGATCGCCTTGATCTATATACTCAAGAATGAGATAACTAAAATCCCAATGTCAGTCAGCTTTCGTCATTGGGACAGTGAGGACAACAAAAGTAGGACCAACATTTCAGAGCGATTCTCCCATATATCATAGAGCTTCATGATGTTGGGATGTTCAATAAGCTTAAGAATGGCAACCTCGCGCTCAATCGCCACGGGAACACGCATTTCGCCATTAACTTCAGGAAGACTCGAGTCCCACTTGCTAAGAGCAGCCAGGCTGCTGTCTTGAACAAGGTACGCCATCCGGCGGTTGACGATTTTCACGGCCGCCATTTGGTGAGTGATGCTGTGGCGGCACAGCCGTACTCGAGCCGAAGAGCCTTTGCCCAGAGTCTTTCCCAGCTGCCATGGTCCAATGTGGGTTTTGTAGTTCTTCCGACTTTGGCTGCTGGAGGTGGACGCATACGATGCTTGAGAAAGACGCTTCGCAGCATCTGTTGGCTGCTGCGGTCTCTGTGCAGTAGGAGGATTGTAGGCATCATAGGCCACAGCCTGGCCACGCGTATCACGGCGAGTATTCTGGTTATTAGTATACTGGCCGGGATACTGGACACTGTTGGACTGATTGGGTCGTGCCTTGTGGCCCTGATAATCCGGGACTGGGTATGGCATGTTGGGACGATTAGTAGTTTCGACGAGCGGCGAGCGGGTTTTTGAGATATATTCGGCCATGGTTATCGCCGTGAAGTGTAGTAGGATTAGCACATAATACTCGAAAGCAATCTGAGAAGAGGCAAGATGCTGATTATCGGTAGTAGAATTGGCAACAAACGAGATCCTAAGGAATACGTGTGCAAATATCAAGGGCAATGTAATGCTGGCTGGAGAGAGAGTTCAGACAAAAGGATGACGAGAAGGAAGCGTCCAGCAGAGAGCATCCAAGACTGTGGGAGGAAGAAGAGACGCGGCAGGCGAAATCCACAGAAAAGAGAGGATGAAAAAAGAAGGACGAGGGGCAGGAATGCAGTGGATGGAACCCAGCTATACAAAAACAAGGAATGTAGCGTGCACCGGCCTATTATCTGGCAGCTTGCTGGCGGTGGCGGACAGCTGGCGGACAGGCATGGTGGGAAAAAAGGGAGACTGCTGGCGCTGGAATCTGGTGTTGACGCAGTCGCTGCCATTTCATCTGAATCCAGAGTGGGAATTGAGTCATTTGCTGGATTAGCGCAGAGCAGAGGAATCGATACTTTTGGATATCGCCTGAGATTTGGTTTTTGTGAGCGGTACAAGGAAGAAGAGCCAAGATCAGACAGCCAGACGAGTATCGCGATACATTCCTGATATGGATGCTATGCATTGGAATCTGGCAGTGAGGCGATGCGTCACAATCGCCTCTCTATGCAAAGGATGTAAGGCTGGTATACGGCGAATATAGATCTTTACCCAGGATGCTTTATATGGCTTCTTTTCTTCTTTTCTTTTTTTTTGGCCTGGTTAAATAATGGGGGACGGCAGTGAATCGCACTACATGGCCATTTGCTATTTGGCAGCAGTTGTGCATGTTGAATACAAAGATGCGTTACATATTAGCGTTACGGCGCGGTAATGTAGGATCGAGTAGACGCGTTCCACGGGGTATCGGCAACCTAGAACAAAATTACAATCCTATTTATAGGAGATCTTTGTTTTGCCGCAGGGTCGAATTTGCCATGGTGAAAGTCTTGGCCGGAAAAAGGGCGAAGGAATCATTCTAGTTGGACGGTCGAGTGACAATCGCATAGAAGTGAAAAATAACAGCCAGAGGGAAACCTTCTGACAGCATTCTTTCAGAGAAGCAGCCAAACATACATATATCATCCAGAATTCTCTTCATATATAGTAGTATGATGGATTTTCCGAATCTATAGGGTATACATAATGCCAAAATTCCAAACAACTTTGAATACCAAGACAAAGGCATGCGATTTACTCTACAAGCAAGTGATGAGGTTGAGACATGACTAAGCGAGCGACAATCACTAGCCAGCGGCTGTCAGCGATCGGTCCTTCATGCCCAAGTCGGGCAAATTTCAACTTGAAAGAATTGCTTTACTATTTCGATCTCACTTCCAGCGTGTGCATGTCCCAGGTAGTGATCGAAAGCCGGGCCCATTAGATGGCTAGACAGCTCCAAGCGTCACCGTTAAGCACGATACTACACATAGTACCAACGACATACTAGTGATACGAAAGTAAAGCTGAAGCTAGCAAAATTCGTCCAGTAGGCTTATGACCACATATATCCAGCATCTGAACATCTTCAATCAAGCGTAATTGGTTTAGTGGTAAAATTCTCCGTTGCCATCCGAGCAACGTCGGGGAGCCCTGGGTTCGATTCCCAGATTACGCAACGCTTTCCTTTTTTATCTCCATGAATAAATGTATTTTTGTTGTTGGAACTGGTAGCTTTCAATTGAGCATGCAGATACGCGTCGTGGTCCCTGGCATCAATGTGTTGCGGTTTTGACGCTTTTTGAGAGGCGTGTTTATTTAAGACTTCACCAGGCTCAGCGCTTCTTCCTATTAGACTGCATTACTTACTACCAAGCCTCTCTCGTTCTCTTTTCCCTACCATGTGTGGCTAACGGTGAACATTTGTTTAAAAGAAGGAGAAAAATAAAAAAAAGTCATCGGTACAAAGTGTAGGCAGTAATACAATGCAATGCTTGGCTAGAAATGAAGCTGATGTTCTGAAAGTTGGTGATCGCATAGAGCGAGTTCTGCGCTTAGTTATCGTTACGGTACTTCACAGTCAAGAGCTGGCGTTAAGTGGTGGGGGGTTCGTAGACGCGTCTAACCGCGTCGCACAGGTCCCCGCCATCTGCCTCTGCCAACGCCTTCAATGCACAACATCACCGCACCGCTAGGTGCCACTCTGACTCTGACTCTTCAATCACCAATTTGACGAGATGAGTTCCAGCGCCTCGCGCCGTCGACGGCGTGGGGTTGAGGATGAAGATGACAGCGGCGCAGACGACCAGAGATCACCATTTGGAGACGACAGTCCGAAACGACGACGAGTAGACACCGAATCGGAGGCAGATGAACAACGACGCGGCCGAAATACTGCAGCAGACGATTCCAGCTTCCAGCCAGGAGCCATTGTCCGGGTCAGCGTGCAGAACTTCGTGACGTACGAAAAGGCCGAGTTTCTGCCTGGGCCAAATCTCAACATGGTTATCGGTCCAAACGGTACGGGCAAAAGTTCCTTGGTTTGCGCCATCTGTTTAGGGCTTGGATACAGCCCCAAACATCTTGGCCGCGCAGGAACTGTCAAAGAATTTGTCAAGAACGGAAAGGATACGGCAACGATCGAGATCGAGCTGCACAAACGGCCTCAAGATCGGTCCAACTTTGTCATTCGAGTTCAGATTCGACGAGAGCAGAATATCCAAAAATGGTGGTTAAATGGCAAAGAGGCGACCCATAAGAAGATACAGTCATTGATGCATATGCTCAAGATCCAGGTAGACAACCTGTGTCAGTTTCTTCCCCAGGACCGAGTTGTCGAATTTGCAGCCTGCACTCCGGTGGAGTTGCTGCATGAAACTCTGCGCGCTGCTGCCCCCGAAGAAATGCAGAAATGGCATCGACAGCTCCAAGAACATCACAAGGACAGGAAGGACATCGCTGAAGCCGTGCACGCTGATACCGAAACACTGAAGAATCTACAAAGTCGCCAGCAAGGCCTGCAAGCCGACGTGGATAGAATCCGCGAGCGAGAAGAAATCCAGGAGCGAGTGAGCAATTTAAAAGGTGCACTGGTTATTGCCCAATACCAGGAGGCGCGCAACAACCACTTGGCCGCAAAGGAGCGCAGAAAAGAGGCAGAGAACAAACTGAAGCATCTTGAGCGGGAAAGCGGGCCATCTTTGGAGGCAGTCAACCGGAAACAGGTCTACGCCCAGGAAATCGAGGCCGCCATCCCATCGAGAGCAAAGGCGGTCAAGGATACTCAGGTGGCAGCCCAAAGTCTAGCCCAAGAAATAAGCACTGCGGTGGACGATGTCAAAGAGTGGTCCAATAAGATAGGTGCTGAGCGCACAGGATTTGATGAGAAGAGGAAAGAGGTAGCAGCATCAAAATCAAGAATCACAACTCTACTAGCAGATTTGAAAAACCGGCCGTCAGATTTCAGTGCGGGCGAGTGGAATCAAAAGATTGTGAGCCCCTCAACATTCTATTTCGCCCACCTTCTTGACTAACTAGCGAATTCCTTTGTAGCGAGCCGAGGAGCATAATCTACGAGAAGTCGAAGCAGACCAGCGCCGATTAAATTCTGATCTGGAAAGGGTCAAAGAAGATGGGAGAAAGAAGATGGATGAGCTGCGGACACTCAAGGCAGACATAGAGTCTCTGGACACTCAAGAGGGTCAGCAGCTAAACTTTATGCGAAGAAATTTCCCTGAACTGTCTACGGCCTGGGGTTGGGTTCAAGAGAACCAAGGCAAATTCGAAAAAGAGGTCTTTGGACCACCTATGCTATGCTGCTCGGTTAAGGACGAACGCTACTCGGATCAAGTTCAAGCTCTGCTGCAGACTGACGACTTCCTCTGCTTTACGGCACAAACTAAACATGACTACAGGCTACTGACCGACCAGCTCTACCGTGAGATGAGTTTATCTGTCGTCATCAGAACTTGCTCGCAACCTCTCGCTGCCTTTAGATCACCTGTTGCTCTCAATGAAGCTCAGTCACTGGGCCTCGATGGCTTTGCCCTGAACTACTTGGACGGCCCTGAGCCAGTGCTTGCCATGCTGTGTGCTGAGAAGAGGTTACATCAATCAGGTGTCTCGGTGAAAGACCACAGTGACGATGAGTATGAGAAGCTTGTCAATCACGGTCGAATAAGCCAGTGGGCAGCCGGAAAGCAACAGTACTTGGTTCGTCGACGAAAAGAGTACGGCCCCAGTGCCATGACAACAGTTACCAAGAGGATACAGCCTGGAAGATTCTGGACTTCTCAGCCCGTAGACTCACAAGAGAAGATTGAGTTGAACAGGCGGCAAACTGAAGTTGCCGGCGAAGCAGAAATCATGAAAGTTGAATACAGAGAGTTGAGACTAAAGAATGGAACCTTTGAAGAGCAAAAGGCTGAAATACAAGGGAAAATTGTAAGACCCGATAGATTTTCAATTTTGGATGCCGGTATCGCTTGCTAACATGATTGAAGGAACAAATAAGGACGGAGAAGAATGCTCTGCAGAGGGAATTTTCACGATGGCAGATGATACCGCAAAAGATAGGTTGGTGTTTTGTTGAACAATTATAACAGGCTTTGATCGCTCAACTAACTGGGTTAGAATCTGAGGAGCGACACAAAGAAGCGAATGAGCAGGCCATGCGCGAGGCCCGGGAAAGAATCGTGGAGCTCGGATTTGAATGGGATAAAGCAGTGGTGGAAAGAGCCAAGCTTGTTCTGCGGCACCAGGAGGCTCTTAGCCAAATAGGAAAAGCTCATACCGATCTTATCGAAGCCAAGATACAACTTATCGAAGCCAAGTCCGACATTGAGGGCCTCAAAGCTCGCAACTCTGATATTATGGAGAAGCTTGAACAAGAAAAGCTCGTGGTGCAGCAAGCTACCGATGAAGCTACTCTAGCCCGAGAATTAGGCCGCGGGCTATCTGACAAGGTTCGAGAACTTATCAGCGAGAATCCTGACAAGAAGGATACATATACCGCGTTGGCCGAAAATAAACTGGCTGCGGAGATAGAGATGGATATATCTGCCGAGCAGGCCAATCTTGAGCTCATCCATGCAGCCAATCCCAACGTCATTCGAGAGTTTGAGAAGCGCGAGCAGGAAATCGCCAAGCTGACGAAGAAGATGGACGCTTCAAACGGCAAGCTTGCCACCATCACTGAGCAGCTAGATGATCTGATGGGCAAATGGGAGCCCAAGCTAGATGCTCTGGTGTCCAAAGTCAACGACGCTTTCGCCTACAACTTTGAGCAGATTAGCTGTGCTGGTGAGGTTCGCGTTAACAAAACCGAAGATTTTGACCAATGGGCTTTGGACATTATGGTCAAATTCCGGTACGTCTTTCCCCCCTCCTTCCGGCTATATATTGCATTTTGAAAAATACTAATATAACTCATAGAGAAAACGAATCCCTCCAACAACTCAACGCCCATCGCCAATCCGGTGGCGAGCGCGCCGTCTCCACCATTTTCTTCCTCATGGCCCTCCAGTCCATGGCCCAGTCCCCTTTTCGCGTCGTCGACGAGATCAATCAGGGCATGGACCCCCGCAACGAGCGCATGGTCCACGAGCGCATGGTCGAAATTGCCTGCCGCGAGCACACGAGTCAGTACTTCCTCATCACGCCCAAGCTGCTTACGGGTCTGCGGTACGATCCCAAGATGAGGGTGCTTTGCATCGCCAGTGGAGAGCACATGCCCAAGGACGGGACCAAGCTCAGCTTTAGGCGGTGCCTGAAAATTCAGAAGCGCATCATGGCGGCTGCGGCGTAAAATAAGCATAATTTTGTAGTTTTCAGAGGTACTAGAGCTCGAGTCTTGTTGGCGGATGAATTGGTTTTTTCAACTACTTGAATAGCAGGCAGGCAGCATCTTGAGCGTTGAGCGGAATCGCGCAGTATTATTTCATACTTCCCCGGTCTGAAAGGCAGAAATGTACATAGAGGGTTTGCGGACGAATTATTAATTATAGAAGCCATACAATAGCTCAACGCCCTTAATTTAGGTTTGAGTTTTCTCTTACGATACATGAAGAAGAAGACAGAAAATGTCAGGAGCACAAGGATCAAATAAACAAATGTATTTATATAATAAGGCCAGGCAATTCATCTCTCATCATTTAGATAATATAGTTATAAAAAAATTGTAAGCCAAACCATGCAAAAAAGAAAAACAGGGAACAGAAGTAGAAAAGAAAAGAAGCAAATCCCTCTCCCCCCTTTTTTTGCATGATTCTTTGTATGTTGCTTTCCCCTCTTTTTTAAAGCAGTCCCTCTCAACAGACAATTTGAAAAAGATGTTTTCTCCAGGAGAGACAGCCGTCATGTGTAAAAAAGAAGAAAAGAAACAAAAAAAAAGACACGCGTATACTGCCACAAATTATTGTACAAACAAAAGGATAAAGGACTCCAAAGTCCTATATGCCGTCTTTCCCCATCAAAGTCAAAGACAGCCTGGGAAAAAAAAAAGGCAAACAGAAAACGACAGAAAGGAGCAATACATGGAGAGAGAGAAAAGCAAGGTAACTGTATATAAAAATTTGATATCGCGTTGCAAAAAATAACGAAAAAACAAAACCACAGATTCACATCTCTCCCCGGAGAGAGCAAGCGCATGCGCCGTACGCGACAGGCCGTCAATGTGTATCGTATCGTAACAAGTGAAACCCCAGACTTGTAGTCAAACGAGTCTTGGCTGAGAGGAAGAAAAAGACGTATTAAGGAGAGAAGAGGAATAGAAGTGTAGGTGTGCTAGTAATCAGGAGTAGGCATTCAGTGACATGTATTAAACAACGCCGTATAATCAGATGGCAGCAATAATCATCAGATTATTGGAAAAGAGCCAAACATAGCTGAACCGTCTTCAGAGCAGACCATTACTAGTGAACTCTGGAGAGGTCTGTGAGGCATAAAATCAAATGGCCAGGCAGAAAGATATTGTCATACAAACGTAGCGATATCCAAAACGTGAGAGATTTGGCTTAGCCTTGTTTGGTGTCTGGGTGGTTGTCTGAATCAAGTCGCCTCCTCCAATCAGCCAGATTCTCGCTCATTCCAATGGTAGGAGTCTCGTCTTCCGGCTGTAGAGTGGCTGCAGAGTCGAAATCAAAGTTGGTACTCAAGCGATAATTCTTATTCGTTGTTTCCCAGTGGTTTCGAAGAGTCTCCAGCTCGCTTGCGAGGTTGTCCAATGCAGCACTGTTCCTGTTGCCAATATTGCCAATATTGCCAATATTGCTCTCTCCATAAATGCTTTCTCCCTCGGAGCTTTCGTTGCGACTGTGGCCAAGTCCATTTGGTGGCACCATCCCCTCAACGTGCCGACTACGACGGCGGTAGGTATCAACAGAGTGCTCAACTTGATCCAGTAGTAGAGAAACCTTCTGTTCAGCATCAGAAGCACGTTGTTCAAGAAGGACATTTTCCGATTGCAACTGCTCCAGCTCTTTGCGCTGCGTGCTTAGGTTTGCACTAATTTCGTCTCGTTGCTGCTTGCTCTCCACCAATTCAGCCTGGAGGCTCTCAAGGTTTTTCTCCAGCTGAGAAGCGGAACCGCGGAATTCGGCCTCCAACTCAGTTATTTTGCCCTGGAAAGCGGCACGCTCCTTCTCCCAAGTAGCAGAGCCAGCCTCGTCTAAGCCAGCCTGCAGCCTCTCCTCAAGTCCCTCAACCTCTGATTTCAAGCGGCTATTCTCCGTCTTGTAGCGTGTCAATTGCTCCTGGAGCTGCTTCAGCATCTTTTCAGTTCCCTTAACATAGTGCACCGCCGATTGGTAATCGCTCTCAAGTTGAGATAACTTCTCACGATACGCAGTTTCGGAATCTTGGGCCTGCATGGCGAAAGTCTGCTTAGTTTCTTCATGAGCAGCGCTAATGCTGGCCAGCTGAGACTCAAGCTCTCGCAGACGGTTCTGCTGCTCGGGGGTCCCTGTTCGCGGGCTATTGAGGCCACGAGATCTGACAGCGCTACCGGTAGGGCTAATGCCTCGTTCAACAAGAATGTCTTTGAGTGCATTATGCTGCACGGTCATAGCATTCGTTTCGAGCTGCTGAGCAGCCAGCTGGTTCTTGATATCTGAATGAGCGGCCTGGAGACTCTGGTTTTCCCTCAGAGCTGACTGAAGCTGTCGTCGAATACCGACGCCTTCTCGGCTAGATTGCTCTTGGTACTGTTCGAGGCCGGCAATACGCTCTTCCGCGCCACGCAGCCTATCAGCAGCTACATCAGCTTCCTGCTGATACTTCTTAACCAGGGCGTTTGCGGCAGTCAGTTGGTTCTGGAGTGCAAGAGCACGCTCAGTATCTGGATTATGCGCGTTCGCCTCGTCTTTAGTTGTGAGCTTATGAAGTCCAGACAACACAGCCTCTCGGTGAGTCCGTGCTTCAGTGGCATGTTTCTCGGCAAGCTCTTCGGCATCTCGCAGGCGCTGGGTCACGGCAACCAGCTCTGCTGTGCGTGCTTCGTGTTCAGCCTTGAGCTTACTCAACTTCCCTTCGACCTTTTCTCTCTGGGTTCGCTCTTCCTCGAGTTTTGTCTCGAGATGGGCGGTGGCATCTTGCGACGCTTCAATAGCAGCTCTAAGAGATTCAAACGTCTCTTCACGGCCATTAGATGAATCAGAAATTTCGTCAAGCTTCCTTGAAATCGACTCCTTCTCAACCTTTAACAGTTCCAAAGACGCCACAGCCTCGGCACTAGCCACGGACTGCTCCCGAGCTTCACGCTGCGAGAAATGAAGCTCTGCTTTCAGACGCTCGACCTCACCAGACGTTTGCTGCTTATAATTCTCCAATTCGACCATGCGCTTCTGGGCGGCTGCCGATGTATCATCAGCGAGCTTCCGGGCCCTTTTCTCGGCTTCAAGTTCGGATTTCGCAGACTCGAGCTGCGTTTGAAGACTCTTTTGGTGGTTGAGAGCAGACGCAAGCTTTTTGCTCATCTCTGCCGATCTAGCGCCAGAGTCGTCGCGCTCGCCATCGGGCTGAGGGGTGCTGGACGGGCTGCCGCCGCTCTGAGCAGCCAGCTTAGCCTTGGCATAGACGGCTTCCTGAATAGCAACATCTCGCTGCCTTTCTGCCTCCGCTATCTGCTTAGCAGCAACAATGGCTTGTTTATCCACAGCGTTCTGAACATTCGCTAGTTCCGTTCGCATGGCCAGAAGTGCCTCGATCAACGGTCGATCTTCATCGTCAAAAGTTTCAATGGCTTTCCCGTCAAGCGCGGGCCCCATGGACGCGTTGGCCACATAACCCGCTTTCCTGGCTAGCTCTAGCTCCGACGCATACCACGCATTTCGATTGCGGGCGGAGTCAAGCTCTTTGAGAAGCGCGACTGTCTGCGAGTTTCGGCCGGATGAGCGTCGGTTCAATGAAGTATTTATCGGCTTGCTAAGATGCGTGGGTGATGTTGGTCGATTCGGTGCCATCCTCTGCATTCCTTCTCCCGTAGCATCAATCGAGCCTGGCGAGTTTCCTGGGCGCATTTTGCCTCGTGGAGGTTCGCCTCTAGGAAGTTCGCCTCTAAGGGGTTCGCCTCTAGAGGGTTCACCTCTAGGGGGTTCACCTCTAGGGGGTTCACCTCTAGGGGGTCCACCTCTGGGAGGCTCATTCCTGGGAGGCTCATTCCTGGGAGGCTCACCATAAGAGCCTTGTTTAGATCCCGACCTGGTAGCTTGTGTTGGCGTAGTTGGTGTTCGTCGCCCATTAGCAGGATTACCCATCGCAGAGACTGGAGCTGATGCGTTGACACCTGTGGGTGTGGGCACCTCGCCCTCGGGGATGGCCTCGCGAGCTATGGGAGATGGAGCAGAAGTCAGCTGTGGTGAGCCGGTCGCCATAGCTCGGTCAACAGAGGCGCCTCGAACTCGTCCTATGGCAGATGGGTCACCTGGTTTAGCAGGAGTTGGGCCTTGCGGTGGCGGTCCGGAGGGGCTAGAGGTCGAACCAGCTCGCATTTTGTTTCCTGGACCCGGAGGGCCTCCAGGGCCTCCGGGACCTCCAGGAGGTACTCTTGGCGGCGCTCCGACAGGCGGAGGAGAGCTTGGGCCTCCGGGATTTGGCGGGCCATTTGGCTCCATGCCGTTTGAAGGGACTCTCTGGCCGGTAGGGCCACCAGGTGCGTTTCTGGGATCAGGAGGTCCTCCTCCGTTGGACACATCGCGTATTGGCGGTTGCCTATTGGGATTCGACGCATCGCTGGGGCGTCGCGCCTGAGGTATTCTTTGAGGTCCTCCTGGAGCGTCATTGGGATACCGAATCTTAGTCGTATCCAGGACATAGAGGATACCAAGATCGTTCGTAGACGGAGAAGCAGTGCTAGGCTCTCCACCAAGCACTACAATGGATTTCCCAACCGTTGTCATACTATGTCCAGATCGGGGCGAAGGAGAGGGGCCCATATTTTGGAAAGTGTACCATCTCCGCTGTGTGATGCGGAATGCTGCAAGGTCGCCCAAGTCTGTGCCCTCCTCAGTTCTTCCGCCGAAAATGTACATGACATCGTCCACTATAGCGGCAGCGTGGCCCTCACGAGGAGCGGGTATATAACCGATACAGTCCAGTTGCGCCCACTTGTTGACTGCAGAATCGTAACACCAGACATCGTTAAACCATTGGAACCCATTGGTGCCACCAAACCTAGCAAGACTGGTTAAAAAGGACAGCCACGGAATAGGACAGGAATACTAAACATACAGAAACATCTTGTCGTTGAATGTCACAATGGAATGGTTCGTTCGTGCAGCAGGTACCTTTGGGTTCGCTTCCGCCTTGATGAGGATCTCCCATCGGTTGGCTGGCGACTGTAGCTGGTTGAGATCAAAGGCAGAGAGGTCATTCATAAAAAAACCTTCGACCTGACCACCGAAGATGTATATCTTGGAGCCTAGAATATTAACCGAATGGCCGTAGCGCCCTGAAGGACGAGATCCTGCAGGCAAGGCGCGAGACCAATGCCGTGTTGCTACAAGGAAGAAAAGATGTTGGTAAAGGTTCTTGATACTATCGTCGCCAGGCTTTCACGTGGATTTGCCAAGGTTGGAATAAAATACTCACAAGTATTAAGTAGATATAGTGTCTCGTCCAAGATATCGTTATCGTCGATTTTGGTGTCTCCACCATACACGATGAAAGCGTTGCCGACTAACAAACTGGCATGGCCAACACGAGGCCCCGGGCCTTCGGCGGTGGTCGCCAGGGGGTAGCAATTCAAACTACCACCAGCCTCAATCATCCAAAGGTCGCCCTTGACTGTTGAGCTGTTGATCAAGCCACCCATCAAGTAAACATCTCCTTCTTTTGAAGCGACTGCGTTGACGGCGGCGCCATATCGTGGGAACGGACTCGGATGCGACGAGGTATAGGTCAATCGTCGCTGCGACCATGGGTAAAGCGAAGCGTTCGAATTGCTCACGGGAGGAGTGTTGCGAAACTTTTTTTATTCGTCGTGTTAGATGTCACATACTAAACACACACATATGGATACAAGAAATGCAGTGGCCAGCTCAATTTAGCTCCAGGTCAACATTACTCACTGGCAAATCACTCGTCTGGGGCGTGTCCACGCTGCCAGCACGGCGTCCATGGCCTGGGCCGGCCTGATCAGGGCTGGAAGTGCTGGTGTCATTGTCGATAGAATGCAGGCTGCCCGTGGGCGTTGCGCGCTGCAATGCTGTGTTCTTGTCGTCTCTGGCCACCACGCGTCCGGGGGCGTTCTGGATGGACCCCTGGGAGCCTGAACTGCCGTCGCGACTCGTTGTCGTGCGGTCCTGATGCTTCTTGGACTTGAATAGAAACGCCATGGCGGACTGCGAGCCGCTCGCTGGCGGAATATGAGCGGTGGTGTATTCGCAGGTCGGCTATGGAACGATGCGATTGTCGGAGACGTAAACGAGTGTGGGTAGATGGTGAGTAGTTCCCAATGAAACGAGCGAACGGCAACGAGAGGATTGCGCGCACATGCACACAAAGACGCGGACGGCTGAAGAGGCCCAAGGAGTGACTGGAGAAAGAGTTGCTAAGAAAGAAGGGGGTCGAAGCTCGAGTGTCGAGATGGCTGGGCAAGCATCTGCGGGAGGTATCCGGGGGAGTGTCGCCGAAATTTCAGTGGCCACCTATTTTGGGGAGGATGCGAATTTGGGGGGGTGGGTGGCAGGAGGAAGAGGGCCCTGAGCAATGCCTACGACGAACCGTGTGTTCTGCCCTATTCGAACCCGCGGAATGGAGATGCAGAGACCAAAGCACTGCGAGCTCGCAATTGCTGAGAACGAAGGGAATAGCCTGCGGCGAGTGAGAACAGACGAGAAAGCCACAGCGCCGGCTGTTGGTTATTGAAGTTGGGACGGGGTGGACAAAGACGCTCGCCTGTGGTGCTGGGCTGCGTTTCGGCCTCCTGTCACAGTGCCGGGGCCTGCTCGCCGGGCCAATTAGCGGGCAATGCTGGCCCTTGGGCGCTCGACTGAACATTTTTAGGGGCTGCAGGCTCACCAATGTGCACTAAGCTGCTGTAGGTACTGACGTACCGCCATGCCACAGCAAGGCTTTGTGGGGGACTGCTAACAGCTGTGACCTGAGGGGTACCTGCAGCCGCGCCCAGCGTCGGCGGGCGGTGGCCCTGCGGTGCGGCGGGTGGCCAGGTTCCTCAGGCGTAGCGCCCTGGCAGCCGGAGATGGCGACGATGTGGAGCTGGCCAGAAATCAAGGGGCTGGAGGGGCAGCGACAGGCATTTGCAGCGTCGAATACGGGAAGGGCCAGCTCTTGACGCAAGGAACAATCTGATGGTAATTTTTTTCTTGAGGCCTGGGCCAATGCTCTGCTCCGTTTCGTCTAGAAGCTCGCGATCAGGAGCCCACTGCTGACCTCATAGTGCTCGTGCCTGCATGTGCCGTATCACTCAAGACAGATCCCATATTGAGGCTTCAAGATTTTGTACGATTTTGCCGGTAAAAGTGGTAGCATTCCATTTGATGTAGGTCGTCTAGATAGATAGTAGATGGGTCATTGGGTGTTGAATTTCATGCTTGACTGAATTATCATGCTAGGCATTGCCCGGCGTTGATCGCTCGCTGCCGTCCCACTCCTGATCATTTCCCTCTCCTTTTGGCTTCGCGATCCTTCAGGCCGGGTACCGGGCAGCTCAGCCCGAGGGCCCTTGGCAAGCTGGCTCGACTGTATGCAAATGTACATTCGTGAGCCGCCGCCGCAGGGGCAATGTCGTCGATCGCCTTTGGCCAGGGGCATGGATGCTCCTGTCCCTACCCTGCATGCTCTAAGAAAATGGGGAGATTGATGTTTGCTAGGCAACAAGTGAGCTGAGAATATGCACGACAGACAGTTTATATGAATTCTATCTTTCTCGTATTTTCGCCATAGCTGAAGAGATGGTAGATATTTTGGCAACAATAGAGTACAAGTCTCCATCGTCAATAGACGAATTTCTCTCTGAGCTATACGCACAGACCGCTGCATCTAGATTCTCATCAAGTGCTATGTCAATAGGTCTTGCTATAAAAATGCAATAGCAAATCCACTGTCCAATGCATATTACTCAAGGCGCTGGGTACCTATTCTTCAAAGCACCATCGCTTCTGTTCAATTTTGAAATTTCTTTTCCTTGGCACACAATCGTGTTCCCTACTATCGCAACCAGCGCGTTTACGGACGGCGTTTAGTAACAGGGGGGTTATGATCGGATCACGTGCTGGTCAACGACAGAAATGAAGACCTCCGAGTCGTTGAATGTTAGGGCATTTATCGAAGCAATACGTACATGCATGATAACAAATCCATACCGAGAGCTGATAGCGACTCAAATTGCCTGTAACGGTCAATTATATTCCAGCGTAGACTCTGCCTTGACGACATTTATATACACGACGCCATGCCGGCAACAAGCTCCATAAGCTTTTTAGCGCCGTTCTCGAATTACTAAAACATCGACATCACTATTAGCGCCCGGCTAAGGCATCTAGTAGCGGTATGTCGTAAAGCTGTCTCTACGTTTCTGCTCGGAAGCTGCAGCGCCCTGATATCAGATATGAAATCCAGCATCGAGCACATGTATCTTCCAGAAGTGCCTGGCGCGATATTAATCTACTTGAACTCCGGCTGCAAGTGTATGAGCTTTTGACTCACAAACTCATATGACCTTTCAAGCCCATACTCGAGTTTCTGCCTGGCGGTAGGATGCGGCACAAGCTGGATGACTTCAAACTAGCAAACACTGGAGCCACTCCAACTCCAGCCACTGGACTTGGCCGGGCAGCACCCAGATCTAGGTAAGGCAGTAAGTAGTAGTAGTAATAATCGCCCTGATGGTCGTAATAATTACCCAAAGGCGCCGGGTGGGCTGTACTACCGCGGGCGTGCCTTGCATTGGCCAGCTTACAGTACAGCTGCTCCAAGCTGTGCGTCGGCCGTAGCGCTGGGCAGTAATACCTACAGTACGCGTGGGCTGGCCGCCATCAGACAAAAAGCCATCCGCCGCAGACCAAAACTCTGTGCCCAAGGCTGGCGGATCTCTAAATCCATTCCCTATTTCGCCTTTTCTGCCCAGTCCATCGCCCCTCGCACCCTATTTACGCAAATGAAGGCATCGTTGCAGTCCTCGCACCCGGCACCGCACTGATTAGCATGGGTGTTTCATCATGGTGATTTAGATAATCGTGCCTGCTCCACTTTAGACCGCGACCGTCACGACTGCCATGTCTCTGCCTCAACCGCACCAAACTTTGCCTTTCCGGCTGCACCACCCACAGCAACGGCCTGCGAGTTTCACCGACGAAACAAATTCCCGCGTCGACACCCCCGAGACGCTTCTGACCCCGTTGCCCGCGCGACTAGGCGAGTTACGAGCCGCGGCTCATGGACTTCCAGCTGAGATGACGCAGCGATCTGGTGCAAATGGCTCACACGCATCTGCCGCATCCGCCTCCAACGGCGGTGAAACGTCCCGATTCAAGGTCCAGTCGACTAGCAGCTCCGACCGTGAATCGCAGACCAACGAGATCAACGACAGGCGGCCCTTGAGCGCGCCCGGCCGCAAGAATGGCGTCACTGCGAGCGACGACATCCGCCTAGAGCCCGAGCGGCCGATTCGACCAGTGAAACCACCGCTTCATCGCTCCAAGAGTGAATATGTGCCGCGACAGATCGAGGAGTCGGACCATGAAGAGGACGAGGTCCGCGACTGGGGAGCCAGACACGGGTTTGAAGACCATTATCAATCAGAGCACATCATTTCTCAGCTTGCAAATGTATGTTTTCACGAGCTTCTGCCAATTTTGCATCGGGGGTGCGGTTTCTCCAACGTCTTGCTGACATTAAACGCTAGAATTGGTACATGTATTTCACAGATAAACGACATGAAACTACCGCCAAACCCAAGGCGGTGCAGTACGAACTTCAAGATTGGCGCCAAAGAGACAGACTCAAGACAGTATCTGCAGCTCTCGCTGTGTGTTTGAATATCGGAGTCGAGCCTCCCGACCAGCTCAAAACCAACCCGGGCGCAAAACTAGAAGCCTGGACCGACCCAACTATCCCTCCTATTCAAAAGGCACTCGAGAATATTGGCAAAGCCCTCCAAGCGCAGTACGAGACTCTCGCGATTAGAGCTCGTTATAAGCAATATCTGGATCCGTCAGTAGAGGAGACTAAGAAATTCTGCATTTCTCTTCGTCGGAATGCCAAGGAAGAGCGCGTATTGCTGCACTACAACGGCCATGGTGTACCAAAGCCGACGGCGTCAGGAGAGATTTGGGTGTTCAACAAGACCTACACCCAGTATATCCCGGTCTCGCTCTACGACCTGCAGCAATGGCTTCAGGCACCCACTATTTTCGTGTGGGACTGCTCAGAGGCCGGTAATATCCTGAATAATTACCACCGGTTCGTTGACAAGCATGAAGAGGAAGAGGAAGAAACTGCGCTGCGAGACCCTCATCACGTCAAGACCAACTTTAGACCATACATCCACTTGGCTGCGTGCGCAGTCAAGGAAAACCTCCCTACGAACCCGCTGCTCCCGGCAGATCTTTTCACGTCATGCCTGACCACCCCGATCGAGATGGCACTTTGGTTCTTCGTCCTACAGAACCCCCTCAAGACAAATCTTACCCCCGAGCGCGCCAAGAAGCTCCCCGGCCGTCTTCAGGAGAGGCGGACGCCTCTTGGCGAGCTCAACTGGATTTTCACCGCCATCACTGATAGTATCGCCTGGACCACACTACCGCGAGATCTGTTCAGGAAATTCTTCCGCCAAGATCTTATGGTGGCTGCTTTATTCCGCAACTTCCTCCTTGCGCAAAGAATCATGATGGTTTATGGGTGCCATCCTCAGTCTTACCCTGAATTGCCAGATACTCATCAACATCCCCTTTGGGAAACATGGGATTTGGCTGTAGACATGGCGTTAGCGCAGTTGCCATCACTGGAGAGGAAAGAGAATGAAGGCATCGATTATGAATATCAGAATTCAACCTTCTTTACCGAGCAGTTGACTGCTTTTGATGTTTACCTCACCAGAGGCGACGCCGTGGCCCAAAAGCCCCCTGATCAGTTGCCTGTCGTTCTTCAGGTCCTGCTGAGCCAGCAACACAGGGTAAGGGCCTTGATATTACTAGGCAGATTCCTGGACTTGGGGCCATGGTCGGTACAGCTGGCTCTAAGTATCGGTATCTTTCCATATGTTTTGAAATTGCTGCAGTCCGCCGCAACTGAACTCAAGCCCGTCATGGTCTTCATCTGGGCCAGGTTGATTGCTGTGGATATCTCGTGCCAGCAAGATCTAATTAAAGATAGCGGCTATAGTTATTTCGCTCAAATCTTGAAGCCAAGTGAGGCTCTACCTGTCGTGAACGGAGATGAGCACAAGGCCATGTGTGCATTCATCTTGGCCATGTTGTGCAAGGGCTACAGAAATGGCCAGATGGTATGCAATCAAACGGAGATCATGAGCTACTGCCTATTCCATCTATCAAATGATAGCAACCCCCTCCTGCGCCAGTGGTCTTGTTTATGCATCAGCCAGCTGTGGCAGGATTTACCCGAGGCCAAATGGCGTGGCATTCGAGAAAATGCATATGCCAAGCTGGCATTCCTCACCAAAGATCCGTGCTGTGAAGTACGGGCAGCCATGATTCATGCCCTGACCACTTTCCTCGGGATTCCTGACCTCACTGAGGAGGTTGCGCGGATTGAGGAGTCGATTGCTTGGACAATTCTTGACATGGGTAATGACGGTAGCCCAATCGTGCGCAAAGAATTTATTGTCTTCTTGTCGCACTTCATTGTTCGCTTTGAGAGCAAGTTTTTGGTTGCCGCCTATGAACAGCTCCTCGAGGAGAAGGAGTATCTGGTGTACCCTCCACAAGACGACGGCCAGGATCATAGAATGGGCTTACACTATGCCAGACCAGATAACCGACAGAGAGACGGGACCATCAAGCCAACTGCCCACGGCCTTTCTCACAACACGGTTTACATGGCATTCTGGAAGCATGCATTGATTCTGAGCGTCGACCCTCACCCAGAGGTACAGAAGGAGGCCGGAACAGTCATCGATTATGTACACAAGGCTTTAATAAACTCTACACTCGGTGAGGCAGCCCAAGTCGTGATGGGGGAGATCCAGAGACGGGCAAATAGGGTAGCTCGCAGCAAAAGCTCCGTTAGCTTGGGCCCGAGGAGCAATGGTGCCCTCAGTCCCCAGCCGCTGCAATCTCCTGGGCTGCTCCGACGGACGGCCAGCCTCCTCTTCCAGTCTTTCATCAACAGCGAGGACAAGTCGAGGCCTACCACTCCCAATAGCCCATTTCCACCAAAATCACCTTCATCCAATATATCGCCTGATCGGGTATCAGCACCTCCTGAACAGAACGACCACCCCGGGTCTTCGGCGACATACCATAGCGCGCGAGAGCCAGTTTCCGGCGCGTTTGAAGAGCGCGATCTGACCAAAGAGCCAAGTCTGCCACTCACAAGCAAGTTCCTTGAGTGGTCTATTGAGTATTTCCGCGAGCCGCAGATGAAGAACACCGAGGCGGACGAACCCGGAAGCACGGACTATAATGAGAGGCTATGGCGGAGAGCTAGAAATGAGAATATAATGAGAGAAACTCAGCCGCTGAAGCAGCTTGCAGGGGCTCACAAGTGGAATAACCAGCTAGGAATTATAAACAACGGCGCACAGCCTGCCAAGATGACATTCCACCAATTTGAGGATCATTTGGCTGTAGCAGACGATGCCAACTCGGTCTACATTTGGGATTGGAAGAAGCAAGGGCGCCTGAACAGATTCTCCAACGGAAACCCCGAGGGCTCCAAAATCAGCGATATGAAGTTCATCAACGAGGATGACCAGGCCATATTGATGACTGGATCTTCAGATGGTGTAATTCGAGTATACCGCAACTATGATTCAGAACAAGACATTGAGCTAGCGACGTCTTGGCGAGCGCTTACACACATGGTGCCCAGCAATGTCAATTCTGGAATGGTTTTTGACTGGCAACAGGCAACAGGACGAGTTCTTGTTGCCGGCGACGTGCGGGTTATCCGAGTATGGTTTGCCGGACATGAGACTTGCACAATGGATATACCAGCTCGATCTGGCTCGTGTGTCACATCCCTCACATCGGATCAAATGACGGGCAACATCTTTGTGGCTGGATTTGGCGACGGCGCGGTCCGAGTCTTTGATACGCGACTAAAGCCACAGGAATCCATGGTGCGCAAATGGAAAGACGAGACAGACCGCCAATGGATCAAGAGCGTGCACATGCAGCGTGGAGGAAAGCGAGAACTAGTAAGTGCCAGTCGAAATGGCAAAATCAAGATTTGGGATATCCGCATGGACAAGGCCTTGCATTCCTTTCAGACGACGCAAGACTCCCTCCGGACGGCAAGCGTGCACGAGCATTTGCCAGTATTCTCTGTGTAAGTTCTTGTCTTTCACGCCTCTTATACGTGTAAGTTTTGGAATCGATGTACGATGGCTAACGTTGTTTTCCTTTTTCCATTTCTAGCGGCACCTCTTCACACGCCGTCAAGGTGTTTAACTTGAATGGCAACGAACTTTCTCGCCTAGAGCCATATTCAAGCTTCTTGCAACAAACGCGAGGAACTCCCATTTCCGCTACAGCGTTCCACCCACATCACCCCATTCTTGGATGCGCAGCTCGAGGGGATCACCACATTAATTTGTTTACTTGTGAGAAGACTGAGCCGATGCAGCTTTCTTAGAAAGCATTTGCTACGGCACTAGAATTCTAATATTCTTTTTTCTCATTTCTTGCTGTGGAGGATGTCTGCCCGACTGGAAGACGTTGCCTTCCATTGGCTGGATTATTGGATTATAACCATTTATCCTCCCTATTTTGTTTTCTTATCCTTTTCTCATTGATGATATGAAGCGCTCGACAGCGAATGGTAGAAACTCTGTTGCTAGGTTTCCTCATGCTTTGAATAGATGCATTGATAACTATAAAAGCGCAGAAGATTTTATGCCTCAACTACGTCCTCGTGAAAGGTTTGGTGGAATTGGCCTTGGGGAATGAATTCGACTGGATTCTGGCGTTTTGGGAGGAGATAATTTAACCATCGTTCAATGCTGGTGGAACTTTTGAATGACTTTTTCCTTTGTATCATTCTCTCCTCGGAAGGTTTACTTGCAATGGATGAGACTTAATTCATATTGGGTAGAGTACTAAGTAGACCTGCAGTTCCGAGCAAATAGCATGATGAATACATTTTGTGCTTGGAATATTTGCATGCTGGTGAATTGAAAGCTCTTGTGAAGCTTGGCATATGCTAACTGGAGCTCCCCGAAGAATGGCTTTTCGACCTCGGCACTCTTGATGTCGAGAGTGCACGAAGCTAATCAGTTCTATTTCTTATCCTGCTCTTTTTTTTTTTTTTTTTTTTTGATCTGCAACATTCTTTCTTTGGCTTATCGGTCTGATTTGGTCCAAGGTTGCATTTCTTTTTCCGCGTGTTATTGGAGGGTGGATATTCTATCATGCATGAACGGACATGGTTGCTTCATCTGAAAGAAGGTAATCTCCGAGGAGGTTTCGACCCGGTTGGCTGGTTGGTTCACGACATATAAGCGAGGTTCAAAAAAAGAAAAGGCTTTATTTTTTTTTCTTTTTCCCGTCGATTTTTTAGCATGTGTTTGTGCAGAAAGATGAATATCGAGGTTGCACTACATCTACATGCACTAAGGTAGTGTAAGGCTTGCGGCGACAGTTGAGTTGAGTTTGGCAGTGGTGAGAGAAGGTCATGTGCATATTGCCTCTTTTGGATTGCTCGCCTCTTGTTTTCAGCCCGCTTGGCAGAGGGTAACGTGGTCTTCAGTTTTGCGGGCTCCCGATCGAGGCTTGGGTCGGATTTTGATGGGCATGGTGGCTTGTTCTACGGGATCATATGATATTGATGTTGCGTCTTCTGGCTTGCCAAGTTGTAAACGGGGCATGAGTATGTACGTAAGTATATTGCTACCCTGAAAGTGGGCACATGAACTGCGATAAAGCGCATGTTTTGGCATGCCATTCTCCTAGGTAGACAAACCAGCAGCACAAGGCTGTGCCGTGTTTGTGAATAATCCACTGAACAGGCTTCGGGTTGGGCTATTTGGTGCCGAGCAAGCTGCGGCGCGGCAACCGGCTGAACCCCATATCCGCATCTCGGCTCTGCGGGAGCTCGACACGACTAGGTAGCACCGTCGTAAGAAAGGCGATGAGAGCTTGCTTATTGGTTACCTGCTGTATTGCACGTCTGTGAGAAGCAGCAATATCGTGCCGTCTTGAATGTATCAGTACCTATGCCATGCATTTTGGTGTAGACGGTGGATAGCTTCGGGCTTCCGACTGTATGAGCGGCTGGAAGTAGCTCTTGTACGGGTACTAAGCAGCGTAATTGCTCCATCAGCCGGTGCGCGATCGACGTGGTGCTACTAATGCTAGCGCGACTCCGTGGAAGCTCCATGTCATCGATGCGTTCGTGCCCTGCTTAGAGTCGCACCCAAGCTTTTCAGGCTTTCTTGTCTTGTCAGCGCTGGGGGATTAGGTCTATTACGTGGGATGAGAGAAAAAGGCGATACGATTTTCTGTAGCCGGAACGCCATCTTCTCGATGGACACGGAGTAAGTATCTACCGTACCTAACCTCTCATCCAGCCATTCGCTGCATAAAGCGTCATGTTAGCAGTACATGCCCTGGTGTCCTCGCTACCAATCTGGAGGCTATAGCGTCTGGGCAGCTGTTTGGTGCTAGTAATCCCAACTTGCGTCCAGTGGAGACCTCCTACGGCGCCCTCAACAAAATCCCCAGAACGCCACGCCACCAGACAGGCCCGGCAGAATCAGTGCTTGGGCGTGCGTGCAGGGGGGCCCTGGAGCAATCAGAGCGGTGCCCCGTAGCGCAGCTTCAAGTTGCAGCCTTAGCTGATTGGCCTCGAGAGGTGCTGCATCATGTATCATTACAGTGTCGCAGTGCTACTGTACCAAGCTGCGCTAGCCCGCGAGCTTCGTACCGGTACCATGTGCCTCTTAATTGCAGGCAATTGCAGGCACGCGTGCTGCAGCCACCGAAGCTTAGCTTGGCGCTGTGCAGGTGTACCGGTACGGAGTGCCCCTCAGAACCGGCTGCTGCAAGTTGCGCGGAGTACCGGCTACGTAACTTCATTTAGCCTTGCCTCTGCTTCCGAGCTCTGCCTCTTCGCCTTTCTCTCTCCCTTCATCAGCGTCTGCCTGCATTGCCACGCAGCTCGAGGCCCAACGTGATCCATCTCGACTCTCCTTTGTCCAAACCAGCGTTCTTTGCCGTGTTCGCCGTCGATCCTTGTTGTTCAATCGTTCCAGCGTTGAACTCATCTGCCCTCAAGCTTATATACGATACATACAAGAGCCGGCTTCTCCACCCCCCTCCCCTGCAAGTTGCCCGGCGCGAGAAGAGCTACCTAACGTCTCTTTTCCACGTCTGCCGCTTCTCTTTCCTCCTGTCCTCCTCTCCAATCCATCTCCTCGTCTCTCCATCTCCCATCAGCAATCCAACCACCACCAACCTCCACCATGGCGACGGACTGGACTGTGGGCGTCATGCCCATGCACCAAATACGCAAGCCGCCCTTCACCATAGAGGCTCCTGGCTACGAAAAGGTGCCTGGCGAGACCATCCCGCGTCGCCACCCAGCAGCCAAGGACGGCCTGCTCAACAAGCCCGCCGATGACGTACACACCGTCTGGGACATTGTCCGCCGCAGTGCCCGCGAGTATCCCAACCATCTTGCCGTGGGCCACCGAAGGCTCATTGAGCTGCACAAGGAGATCAAGAAGGTTCCCAAGAATGTCGATGGCCAAGTCATTGAGGTGGAAAAGGAGTGGCAGTTCTTTGAGCTGTCCAAGTATGACTTCTTGACCTTCAAGGAGTACGAGACGCTCGTCCTGCAGCTCGGCTCCGGCCTGCGCAAGCTGGGCTTCAGCGGCAGCCACAAGCTGCATCTCTTTGCCACGACCAGGTAAGCAGAGCCGTTCATCTAACATGGTGTCTCAGAGGAGCGTATGGTGGAATACAATCTCGGCCAGAGAACGATCAATTCGCGAAGAACCAGCTAATAATGAACCTTTCTCGCTCTATAGTGTCAACTGGATCTCCATGTCCCATGCCTGTGCTTCGCAAGGCATCTCCATCGTCACTGCCTACGACACGCTCGGCGAGAGCGGAGTCGAGCACTCTCTCGTCCAGACTGATGCTGAGGTCATGTATGTCGACCCTCATCTGCTCAAGACCGCCGCAGGCCCCATCAGGAAATCAAAAGTCAGGACTGTCATTGTCAACGAGGACAGCATCTTCACCCTGGGCGGCGAGGTCGAGGCTTACAAGAAGGAGAATCCGGATATCCGCCTCATCACCTGGGAGGAGCTCCGAAAGCTCGGCGAGGAGAACCTGGTTGAGCCTCAGCCCGGCAACCCCGAGGACATTTTCTGCGTCATGTATACCTCTGGTTCCACCGGTCCTCCCAAGGGTGCTTGCATCACCCACCAGGCGCTTGTTGCGGGAGGTGTGTATCTTCCCCTTATGCCACGAAACTCAGGCCGTAGACAATACTGACCTTGCTGATAGTTACGGGCCTCCTCGCCTCCGTCGGCGAGACCGTCAGTGACAAAGAGGTTGTTCTTGCGTATCTGCCGCTTGCCCACATCTTCGAAATGGCTCTCGAGAACCTCGTCATGTTCATTGGTGGCTGCTTAGGCTACGGAAATCCTAGAACTCTCTCCGATACTTCCATGAAGAACTCCGCTGGCGATATGCGAGAGCTGCGACCGACCGTTCTTGTTGGAGTTCCCCAAGTATGGGAGACTGTGAAGAAGGGAATCCTGGCCAAGCTGGACACTTCTAGCCCCATCCTCAAATCTGTTTTCTGGGGAGCCTTCAACTACAAGGGATTCATGACCCGGAATAAGCTTCCCTTGGCCACCATTTTCGACAGCATTGTCTTCGGAAAGGTCAAACAGCTGACGGGAGGGCGCCTTCGATTTACCATGAACGGTGCCAGCGGCATCTCGGACAGCACGAAGCAGTTCCTGTCCCTGGTTATCGGCCCCATGTTGGCTGGCTATGGCTTGACCGAGACCTGTGCCAACGGTGCACTTGGAAACCCCCTGGAGTACTCTGCCAACTCCATTGGCCCCGTCTCTGGTGCCATTGACGTAAAGCTGGTTGCCATTCCTGAGATGGGTTATTCTACCGAAGCCAAGGTTCCTCAGGGTGAGATCTGGATGAAGGGTCTTCCCATCATGAAAGAGTACTATAACAACCCAGAAGAGACGGCCAAGGCCCTTACCCCGGATGGCTGGTTCAAGACTGGAGATATTGGCGAATTCGATGCCGATGGCCACTTGCGTGTCATTGATCGACTCAAGAACCTGGTCAAGATGCAGGGCGGCGAGTACATTGCACTTGAGAAGTTGGAGTCCGTTTACCGAGGCTCCCAGATTGTGGCCAACGTCATGGTGCACGCGGACCCCGACCACAACCGCCCTATCGCCGTCATCATGGCCAACGAGAAGGTTCTCGCTGCAAAGGCTGCGGAGCTCGGTGTTGACGAGCACAGCATGCACCGCGATTCCAAGGTCCAGGCAGCAGTTCTCAAGGACCTGCAGACTACCGCCAAGCGATCTGGCCTATCTGGCCTGGAGACTGTGGGCGGTGTGGTTGTTACTGATGCGGATTGGACCCCGGATAGCGTGAGTTTCTTTGTTCCTTGATTGAGACTGGATTTTGTATTAATCATTTGTTTTAGGGCCTGGTCACCGCCACTCAGAAACTCAACAGGAGAGCCATTCGAGACCACTTCAAGGAGCAGATCGAAGAGTGCCTGAAGCACGCCCCTTAGGGCTACCAACAGACGCAGCGACTTGCGTAATTCATTTCCTTGATAAAAAATTTTTCCCATATATTTTCATATATAGGTGTTGAAGGCGGCGAGAGATGTTATAAGAGGCGGGACAATGGGATTCGTGGTTAGTGACGAAGGGGGGAGGAGAAAGGAGAGAGATGACGACGATGATACCGCTGTTGTGATTCGCGTGATTTAATTTGTCTTGTTGTACTGCTACCGGGGCGTGGGCTTAATTAATGATATTTATACCACTTTCCATTCTAACTATGCTTGAGTCTTTAATTCATTGCTTATATCGGACTGTTTGTTTCTAGTAAAGCTGCTCAGCTGTTCATAGATGAGAAATCAATGTAGGCATGGCCGGTATAATGGCGAAACAATGTCATCTCAACAGCACGATATACGAAGATAAATACGGACACACGCACATTCACACACACTCACTGGTATAGACGATCATGCTCCAAATGCCAACTCCATTGTCATGCTTTTTCCACCCCTCTTGAACCCTGGCTAAATATACTAAAGTAACAAAAGAAAAAGATATATGTAACACGCAGGCTTGAAAGATTTAATAACGCTCATATGGATATTTGTGAGAGAGAACAAGAGCAAAAGCTAGAAAAGAAGACGAGCAAAAGTACATCAAAAAGAACAAAGGCTATTGTAACAAAAAAAAAGAGGATATAAAGCCACGTCTTTCTTTCTTTCCCTTTCTTTCCTTCTATTGCTTCTCTCCTAGTTCATCATTCGTAGAGGATTATTGAGTAGCTAGTGTGGTAATTCAGAGCAGGAGTCTTGGACTTGTAATCATGCCTTCATCTCCTCCGCAGTCCAATTAGTCCTTCCTCCTGAAAAAGGCCAGGTAAGGGACAGTGTCTCGCCCCGATTTAAAGACCCTTTCTTTGAAATCCTGAGCATCACCCGTGCCAATGCGGACTTTTGTAACGTGGCTGTCCTCACAGCGGTACCATGCGTACTGGTCATGGGTGCTCGAGTCTCGCACGTACGCATAGTAATGCCCATTGTCGGTCTTGCTGCCGCTGTGGACAATTACGGCGTAGCATTCGTACTTGAACGGCCCCGAAAAAGCTCTATCATTTGTGCTTTCGTTTGTTCGCATGAAGTAAGGGGTGAGATCAATCTCGTTAAAATCCCATGTGACTTTTCTCGTGGATTTCTTGATATCTCCTACAGATTTGTCGAAGTCAAATCTGCGGAAACTTAGGCATAGCAGCGGGGGCATGCGGGCAAAGCAAGTAGTTTGCATGGCTTTTGTGTTCTTCCTGCATGTATCGCATGCGAAATTGTCTAGTGTGTTGACGACGTTGTGTTCTCGGAATGAGTCCTCGAGAGTGATGTCTTGATTCTTACCGACGGGCGCAAAGACTAAGTCAAACGTCGAAAACGTATGCGTTTGCTTATGGCACCGTTGGCAGTCGACTGTCGATAGCTCAAGACCACGCCAATAACGATCCACAATGGATCGATTTAGCTCTTGGTAGTTTTTCCAATACTCAGTGGCTGCCTGTAAGCGCGCCTGAGGAATTGTGTTTGGCTGTGCAATATTGCCCTTAAGGTTTCGGCGAGAATTAGTCTCATCGTGCAGGTAGTCTAATAAAAATGACATGAATTCTTGAGCATCTTGCTGCCCAGTTCCGCCAAACTTGGAAATAGTTTGACTATTTTGGCAAAGATGAAGGGAATAATCCTAAAGGGGAAGAGAGTACAATTAGTATTATGATAAACACGATAGCAACAAGGGTAATAACTGTATAAAGTCGACGTACCATCAAAGTCTGAGCTTTCATAGTTTGAAACTTTCCCGTCGTCATCCAGTGGAACAAATTTGATATGATCTTGATCATCAGTTGAGGCTGATCAATCTTCTCGTCATCTTTCCTCGGTGCGCTATATTTGTCGATCCATTCCGAGTCGCTCAGCTCCCTTCCAAAATTGGGCGATGCTAGTAGTGATTGAAGAGTACTATTGGCGTAACACCAGTTGTGAGGGTTGTTAAGGCCGGTATAAAAGATTTTCTCGGAAGGTGGTGGTGTGGGAGCCACTTGGACCGGCTCATGGTACATGTCGTGGTCATCAACAGTTTGGGATAAGCTGCTGTAGCTTAATCGCGGTAACGCTGGGGCTGGCCTTGTGGGCGGAGAAGGTAGATCGGTATATAAATCGACCTGGTGAGACGAACCATAGCCCGGAGTTCTTTGTTCGGCGATGGCAGGCGAAGTCATTGACTCCTGAAGGGACAAGGAAGGAAATCTTCTTAAGAAAGATTCTGTTGAGCGGTGGAAAGCTTGTTCTGTTGCCGTCTCGGTCTCCTTTTCTTCAATCTCCACAGCTTGCTGCCAAACCTTAACAATATCGGGCCTAAGCGGCTTTCCCAGGTACTGCGAGGGCCGTCGTTGGAACGGACTTTGCCGCACCAACGAGATTTTCTTTGGTTTAGGCGGAGCGGTCGATTGCAGAGACGCTGCGCCCATGAGGTCGACCCATGCGTCCAACCCGCCCTTGAGCAGTTTTGGAGGATTTCGCAACTCGTGGCCATAACTAAGATGTACGAGAGCGCGATGCAAGGATGATAAAGGCGTATCTTCGTCGTTCCAATGAGGAGAAGGAATCTTTACAGAGTCTTGATCATAAAACACCACCAAATCATAGCTCGCCCGTCGTTCAAACTGAACTTGCTCCAGGCTTGGAGATAGAACCAAACTTTCAGCTATATCGTCAGCAGAAATGTTTGGCCGCGTGAGGATGTTCGGGTCGACGCAAATCGTGGAAGAGGACATGATGTGGCCCTCATCAAAGTCTTCACGAGCACGGACGTCTATAATTAGAACCGAGCCCTTTGCTTTCATAGCCTCAAATAGCTCTTCGGGCGTGATCCTGTCCCCTTCCGGAACTTTGAAAGAACTCTCTGGTGGCTGCGGTGTGTCATTGTTTCCATTTCTAGCTGGCTGAGACGTAAAATAGTCGGCGCCTTGCTGTGGCAGAGGGGTGCCAGTCGCACTGTTTAGGGACACAATTGACCCTGTGCGGCTGTAATGGCCCCGTGGCGTGCTAGGCGGCATACGAGCGGACTCTCCTGAGATGCTACCTCGTGCAGGGCTGTATATCGCATCAGGCATCTTGGGCAGTGCAGGTATTGCGCTATCAAGTGATATTTTGGGACGTGATGGTGGCATTTCTCGGGGTCCAGCAGGCTTGGCAGGCGGCGGAACAATTTGGTGCGTCTTAATGCGAGGGTCCTGTCCTGGCGAGGGCTGAGGGCCTCGCAGGTTAGCAAATCGCGCGGCCAGATCCGACATGGCTTGGGTTGAGGAGGTAGCTGAGGCCGCAGATGCGGCGCGCGCATGTCCAGGTTTGATGGCATGGCCAGCCAAAGACTGCGGTTTTGGGTGCACCGTAGGCTTGAACTTCCCGGGAGAGCCGTTGACTCGGGGTTGCGGTGGATCATCGGCTGGCGCTCGCGATGTCGGGCTCAGGTCTCTAATCGGGAATGCCTGTGCTAGCGAAACGTTTGCGCCGACATTCTTCTGGATAGAGGGAACAACGGTCGGCTGAACGCCAGTCCTCTCATTGTCTGCAATGATGTCCCGCTTGATTTTGTCATATACATCACTCTGCTGAGATATGCGTTTCAAGAGTTGCGAATGCCTTCGGTTCCAGTCCGTACGACGGCTCTTTAGTTCTACATAGTCGCTGTGAGACGGGATGATCTGTACAGCGAGGACCGAAGCCTTGACATAGTCCTTAAAAGCAAGGGCTGGCTTTCCAAAGTCGCGGCTCATTTCAGACTTTGCCAACGTCGTCTCGGCCATCTCCAGCAGGTGCCGCATCGGCTGGTTCCGATTGATGTCCTGGGGAAAGGCCACCATATCCTCGATGTGAGGCAGCGGCGCAGTGGCGCCGGGAGGAGGTGTATAGCCGCCATTCATGCCATCGTAGCCCGAAGGCGGCATGCTGTGCCTGGCATTCACGGCCATATGATACCTCGCACTATCAATAGGGTCCGCGGTTGTCATCGATGTCGCAACTTATTAGAACTCGGGGTGGGTGCTAGGCGGCGCCTAGCGGATCGGCCGTGCGGTGCTTCGGCGGTGCTTCAGCGGTGATGTCGCTGGCTGCGTGGAAAATGAAGGCGTCAATGAGGCGCGCGAATCGGATCTGGTAGGAAGAGAACAGCTTGGTTCGGAGGCCTTGTCATCTCAGAGAGACAAGCGTAAACGGCGATTGTATGATTCCTATGACAGCAGGCTTCGGGGGCCCTGATGAGGGGCTGCTGAGGCAGCACAAAGCATTCTCGTATGACGGGCAGTTTCAAGGTCAAGGGCTCGCGGGGACTTTTTCGTAAGAAGGCGAAGCTGTTGTGACGAGCTGAAAGCCCAGATGGCGACGCCCTGTGTATGAATGGAGAGTGTGTAGATGTATGTCAACAGGAAATAGAGGTCAGCTGCTTTGGCGACTTGGCTGGGAACTGGCCTATTGGAGTGTGCCACCACTCTGGGCCTACTAATTAGACGTGCTTGGCTTCGCCGAGGTACAAGTGTGGCCAAACGGGCATGCGTACGTGGGGTGTAAGATACCTTGAAGGTGACGAAAGTACCTTTAGCTCTGCCGAGTCTGAATACAAAATTAAGTCGTTTTCTATCCTCTTTCGTACTGTGCTGCGTCTTCGCCTACGTTCGCGACGTCCCGCAGGTACCCCGATTTGCGCATAAGCCACGGCCAGCGTCGTCATTGCTTGGCTAAAGTGCCTCCAACCCTGCTTCTTTTGAGATGCATAAGAACCAAGCAAATGCGCATTTCAGATTACAAAAATGATTCTTCGGTATTGCGAATGCTAAGCCGTCTTTTTCTTTTTCCATTCTTTTTCGGATTTTGATGAACAGGCGCAATTCGGATTCGCCGTCTATAATTTGCCTCACCGCCGCCCTGTTTCGTTTATAACGTCTTGTTTCGACGCCTATTTCGTATCTACC